TAAGGAAAAAATTATTAAATTAATAAACGAATTATAATTTTTTTTTATCTTAAGTTATATAATTTTTGTAAGAACTTATGAATTTTTATTCAAATATTATTTAATTTTGAAAATTTTTAAAAATTGAAAATAGAATGAGATATTAAAGAGCTATAACATTGCAGATTTAATAAAATATTTTTATTACTGTATATAAAAACCGACAATATTATAACACATGTAATACTTGTTTTCATTAAATTATAATTACAAAAATATGTATATATTATTGTATATAACTCATAAGATTTTTTTATCTTTTTAACTTTTAACGATACTTTGTCAAATCGCAATAATAAAGCAATCAGTAAATATTACTTTATGTCATTAAAGCTTGTGGCAGCATAGTTGTTTTTAAAGCTGCTTTACTTGTTACTCTTGCATATATTTATTGGTAAATCGATAAATTCATGCAATTTTATATTTTTTATTAATGTAATTATTTATATAAAGTGACTTGGAAAATACATAAATTTAAAAATTATCTTATAATATAATAAAAAAAAATAAATAAAAATAATCGAAATACTATTTTATTGTTATTAAATATTATTATAATACTTATTATAAATTGAATAAAATTTGATTCTATAGTATATTATAGTTTTTTTTAAGAATATGAAATATAATGCAATTTTTAATCAGTATTTCCAAGTACATCACAAGCTTATATACGGTAATTTATACTTCTTCGAATCTTCGATTTTTTTTTTTTAAAAATCTAGTATGAATAATTGTAACAAGAGGAAGACCTTAAAAGTCTTTACCGGCACGTTAAGAGAGTACAACACGTTTCATCGTCTGCATTCTTTCTTAATATACATAATATCTATATACGCGCGAATATTTTACAAATCTAAAATCGAAAAAATATCATATAATTTTATCATTGTTATATACAGACGCCAATAATCTCAGAAATATTGGCTTTTCACAGAATAAATACATTTTTAAAATCATTACAGTTTTTTTTTTTAATAATTTCAAATGAACGAATGATCTTTCATTCAGGTATACATATATTGTCTTTAGTGAAATACATTACAATATAAGGAATATCAAAGCAATATTCACAGCTCAAAACTTCGAAAATATTTATGCAATGAAACACGTTTATTCGATATTTATATAATATTTTAAAATCTTTCGATTTTAAATATTTTCTAATCATTTGTTACTAATTGCAAAAACTCACAAATAAACATTTATATTTATATTTCTCTTTTCTGTTTAGAATTACTTTCTTTTCTTCTATTGATATTCAATTAGAGTCGAAAGAATTAATATTTTCAATACTGCAGAAAGTAAATTTCATATTGTAAAAAATCGTTCGAATATTAATTTATTTTAATATTCAATTTTAATATTAATTTTATGATCATAAGTTTATTAATTTTTCATAATTGTTAATTTTATGATAGCAAGTGATAATTTGCTAAATACGAATGGCAATTTTATTAGCTGCGCGGTACAAAATTTATACCTCATTTTATGACTCAAGTTATCAAAAGTAAACAAAACAAATTATTTGATAGATACTCTGACAATTTTACTTATTGATTAACAAAATTAGTAAAAACAAGTCGTCGTTTGTGATCTATTATCTATCTATTTATAGCAGTATTATTTGGATAGATTGGGTACAAAAATTTCGATAAATTTAAATAAATAATAAATATTTTTAAGAAATTTAAATGCATAAATAGAGAAATGATAATAAAGCCAACATTTTTTATTTTAAACATTTTAAAATATAGCTCATTTGAACCTTATTTTTTAAATTTCTTCACATACTCCATAAAATATAATCCATCTAAATTTAATTATTCTATCTATATTAATAGAACAATTAGATTAAGTTATATTTTATGGAATGAAAAAGCAACAAAAGAATTTTTCAAAATTAAAAAAATAATTGCATATTTATTGTTTCTTATGAATTTTTTTATGAATTAATTTTTATTTTGTATTTATTCGACTCGTGAAAGTTATATTATTTATTATTCAATTTATTATAAATACTCTCATGAAAATTATAAGGATATGTTATAAGGATATATGTAAACAAATTTAGAAAATAAATTATAATAATACTTTTTCAATTGATTTTAAAACAAATATTGTCCAATTTAATTATTGAAAAAAAAGAAACAAATAAGAATCGAAGATAATAATCTAAAATATATTTAAGAGGAAGAAAAAAAAAAAAAAAGAATAAAATTAATGCAATGGAATGAGCAAGGATTTTAGTTCCAGAAAAGCATTTACTTATGTCATTTTTTGTATTAATTTTGGATGATTGTATATATTTATTACGAATGAATAATGAATATTAAAAACAAAAATAAGTGATATTAGAAATACTTTATCAGAATTTAAAATTATCAGATAGAAATACTGTTATATAAGTTGATTTTTTTTTCTGAATTAATAGTTTTTTATTAAGTTTGAGAAAAATCAAAAAGATTATCAGGAACGATAGTTTCTTTTATCTAAAATTGATTATTATTTATCAAAGATTTATTTATCAAAGATTATTTTTTGATATTAAAAGTTTTTAGTATGACATCGACAATACAGTGACAAAGTTCATCATCAAAGTTAATCATATTGAATCATTAGTTTGTAATGTATATATTTTTTTCTCAAGGCAAAAGAGTTAATTTTTATAATTAATTTATTAAATTTGGACGTCAAAATATCTATTGTAAAATATTAAAACAAAATTAATAATTTAAAATAATAAGTATATAAATAATTATCATGAAATAAAATGAGTAACTATCATGGAGTAATTTGAGTTATTTCGGAATAATCTTTGAGAATATAATCATGTATTATTTTTTTACGAAATAATTTTTTAAAAATTTTCTTTATCTATCATTTGTTTATACAAATGTCTGACTTATCATTATATTTATGATTTCTTTGAAAAAAGTTTTAATATTATTATTTAGCAAAACAATTTTAAAATTATTATGAAATATCTTATTTTCATTATTTTAATTATAAATGAATTTTTATTATAAAAATTATTGCATTGTGCTTGTTTTAAATTAAAAAGTTTTTGATGTCCTAATTCCTCTAGTCTTTAATAAAAACTAGTTTTATTTATATCAGATAATTTGACTCATTCAATGAGGTATGTATATTATTAAATATTTTGTTATTTTATATTTAAATAAATTCTTTTCTCTTTATTAGAGAAAGTTAGCAACTAAACAGTTTTAATTTTTATTATTATTCATAAAGATCGTATTATCGTATTTAAAATATAAATCCAAATTATTTTATTAAAAGTAAATAGAAAAGATGATAAAATGAACACATATTAATATTATATTAAGTCATTCCATAAGTTATATTATCATTGAGTTTAAAGAGATATAATGTGATTAAAAATATTAGAACTTTTAACTAATTTATAAAAATAATTTTTCATAATACATAAAATAAATTAATTGTCTTAATGTTATTATATATTTTTATTATATATATTTTATATATATTATATATTTTTAATTACCTAGAGTTATTATAAATTTAGATTTATTTTTTATATGGTTATTGAAATAAGATTTATTCTTTATTATTTCGGATAATTTATATCACTTGAAATATTGGAAATTTTAATTTGATATCTGTTACAGTATATAAATTTTAATATTTGTTTAATTTGATACAAGATATTAGGATAAAGAGAAAATTTTTATATTTTCGTTTCTCGTAGTATTCTCTTTAGAATAATTATGCTTTTATTTTTACAATTTTATTTATAATTTATCTATATATCTCTATATTATAAATAATAAAATTTTCTAATTTTTTATATTTTCTTTAATAATTTATAGAGAAAAAAATCTGTTAATAAAATATTTACTTGATATTTATAATTTATAAGTTTTTATATTGAGTAATAATTATGAGAAATAATAACAAATATTTATAAGAAGTTTGAAAAGAATGTTATGGTGATATGAAATATATAATGTCTAAAAAATATATATATATCTTAGAATAATTATAAAAAAATATTTATATGTTATATAATTATTTAGGAAAAATAAATTGAATTGAATAAAAAAGATATAAAGAAATTAATATATCATAAAGATTATTTTCAAACAAATAATTATATATGATAATATGATATTTTATAATAATATTCGACAAAAACAATACGAATAATTCATGGGAAACATATTAAATATGTATGTTTTTATTATAGAAAGAAGTTTATTCTATGATTGATAGAAAATAAAATAATTTATTATAAATATTTGTAATCGAATCAAAAAATTGCAATATTATAACTAATTATCGTTAATATTTTGTTAATATTAAAAAATTCATTTTTTAATTAGAATCGTATGTAAGTTTTGCAATGTAAAAAAAAAACAGTATTAAAAAACTAAATTAAAAAATAATTTCCCATATATTTATTTGATTTTTAAAAATCATCTATTTAAATTATTCCAAGATCATTTGACGATATAAAGAAATTATAAAAAAATCAATATATTATATGTATGAAATTATTTCTAATTTAAGTAAATCATGAAATTCTTTTTATAAATCTTTTTTATAAAATCTTTTTTATAAAAAAAATTAATAAATATTAAGACATTAAAAATTAACACAAGTTAATTATATTAGTTTTTTAAAAATATATTTAATAAAAATTTTGTTCAACCTAATACTTCAAATGCCAGAAATATTATAAATATAAATTTTTTTGAAACTATTTTTCTATGAAATTTATATAATAAAATATTTATTTTAAAAAAAATTAAAATGTTTCATTAATATTTAAATTTTATTAATATTTAAAAAAGTTATTAAAAACATAATTAAATAATTCATAAGAAAGAATATACATAACAAATACTATTATATTTTAAGAAAAATGATTTTTAAAATTCTATTTCTTATGGAATAACCTAATAATTATATTGCACGATGTGATTCATAATTTTTATAAAATTATTGATTATAATTTTATCGTTAAACGCAACAATGTTTTTGCAACAGTAATAAATCGTAATTATAAAACGATGAAAGTAAATCAGAGATGTGCGAGCACTTCAACAGCAGCTATCGGAGGCGTTTGATCGCCATTCAAAATTACCGGTTCCGATTCAGTTTGAACGATTCTAACGAGATTCGCATCTTTTTTCGATGGCGTGACATTCGTGTTTGATGCAACGTTCGATCTAGTGCAATAGCTCGGTGGTCTGCTTTCTCTAATCATGCCAGGATTCACAATGCTTCCAGCATTCGATCTATAAGTCGGTGGAGGTGAAGATGTTGGCTGCAATCGATCCAAAAGGAGCAGTCTAAGTCTGTATTCTTGCATGCTTGCCTGAAATTAGAAAGATTTAGTTTAAATTTTTTTACTTGTATATTAAAAAAGAAATGGTTTGTTGATCAATGTTGAAATATTACATGAAATTTAAAATGAAACTTTTAAAACAATCGATTATTCAAATAATTAATTATAGAAAAACCGATTAATGACTAAAATTATGACTGTCTTTAATATGAAAAATTATAATTTATTATGATTTTATTATATAATATATTATAATATTATGTATAATTATTATATTCAATCATTTTTGCTTTTTTCTAATCTATTTTCTCAATATCTTTTGACTTAAAAAAAAAATATTATTTATGTAAAATAGGTTTCAAGAGAAAACATAGAAAATAATATAAAAAGAAAGAAAGATATTCTATATTGAAATTTTGTTGTTTTTTATTCGATATCATTCAGATTCAATTAAATATCAATAATAATCAACATTTTATTATAATGTATTAATTATTTTTATTTTTTAAAATATTCAAAATAATTAAAGATTGAATATAAAAAGAATGTAATTATAAATATATGATATATTTTTATAATTACATTCTTTTTATATTTTCAATTATTCAAACTGAAACATTCAATATAGTAGAAAAATTCAATAATTTTAAGTAAAATTATTTTATTTCGAAAAAATAATTTTTTAATATTGAAAATTAGAAACAAATTTTTATTTTGTTAATTTCTCTAATGAAAATCAAAAAATTAATTTAAAAAAAAATTAAAAGATAGAAATTCTTGACAAATAAGTCATATTATTTTTATATCATAATTTAAAAAAAATTTCAGCATTGAAATCATAAAATGATTGATTTGGCAATGATTTTAGATGATTTAATATTGATAAATTCTAAATTAGCCATTTAGAATAATATTTTTAATATTTTAACGAGAAAATACAAATGGTAAATGATATTTTTAAAATGTCACCTGATAACTCGGAGGTGGCGTTCTAAATTGGAATTCCGGATAAATCATGGCAGCGTATGGATGTATTGGCCTCGCTGGTGGGATTCTGCTCGAGATTCCCGTGAAACCAAAGAAACTGCTGCAATTTTCTCGACTGGTCACTCGCCACGCTACAGCGCTTACCGTTACCAGAACCACTCCTATACCTATAACAAAATGCATCATGTCACAAAAATATTTATTACTGATTTGTTTTGAAAATTTAATATCTATCATATTGTATTTATTGAATTTTCAGGAAATTTTAGAATTCTGTTTATTTTTTTATAACAATAAAAATAAAAAAAATTCGATCCAAAATGAATGAATAATGAACAAAAATAGTTGAATTAAAGATTTATCAAATAAACTTGAGATTTTAATTTTATATTATCATTATTAATTCACATAATTTTTAATAATTTTTCTCAATTTAAACTTGATAAAAAAATGATACAAAAGATTTTTTTAAAAATGATGCACGTACTGAAAATAATATACATTCTATATTTATTTACAGAATTTTTCTTTGAATTTCTAAATCTTAATAAATTTATATATAGCATTATCATACTTAAAAATATATTTATATATAGCATTAATATAATTAAAAAATATAATAATAAAAATATTATAATTAAATAGCATTATTATAATTAATATATATTTTAATATTAGAAACAGAATTTTCAATTAAAGTTATATCTGCATCATGGTTTTCTTATTAAATTTTATTATT